CCTATCAGTGGAGGCAGGGGTTATGGACTTCACTAACTATGCTCCTGATAAACTTTCTTCACCTCTTCCACTCCCATCAGTCTCTTAAATGCTAGAGTTGCACTGAATACTCGATTAATATCGGTATTTGGCCCATTCGGCCTATTTTTTGCTATTCGGTCGAATATCGAATATTGATTCACTATTCGGCCATACCGAATATTTAAAACAAGTTTTATTAATTCTGAACATACATTGTAAATTCCTAAAAAAAAAATTCCGCTTATTTATCTAAAAAATTAAAGGAAATGTAATGCATTTAAGTTATTTTTCTATGAAATCAAAACAGGTAACAAATTAAATGAAAACTAGTGAAGAATCAACGCCATTGGCGAAGCTATCGACTCAGTATAAACAGCGCTTCGACTGCGCTTCCTTCGGCCAAGTGAAGTAGTCTGCCGAAGGCGGCACTCGACCTTGTGTAAATACGCCATGATGCCATTAGCAACACCATTCACATCAATGCGTTAGTAACACTGTATTCTCTCGCATCACGAATATCACTGTGACAGGCCGTGCGAATCTCCTTAGGAGGGTATACGATTTACTTCGACACGGTTTGAAATACGTGTGATGACAGTAAGCTGCAATTGAATTGTTAATAGCGGCATGCAGTCCCAGTCAGTCATTTGCTCTAGAACCAATTATACTATTTAATAGATTCTTTGACCTACTTAGTTGATTCGGTTGCATTGTTGCGATTTTGCACGACAATCGGTTACTACAATTTATTTATTTATTTATTAGATGACACAACAGTTTAAATTCACTCCTTAAAAAAAGCTTAAACATTATTGCTGGTTCTGGTCTACAATGTAAACCTAAACATATACATACAGCATTCAGGCGTAAACAATTTTGTTACAATATATTAATATAACGCATTTATTTTATATTTATGACTATAACTATGAAAGAGAGAGACTGTTGTGCTTGTAGATTCGATTGCGAAATCTTTTAAAATTACAATCAATTATATCCATCTCTAAATCATGGCCATCCATCTCTAAGTCATCGTAGCGTAGGCCCGACACATACTCATCAAAGGGTTGTAAAAAGAAGTATTATTAGTATACACATTCAATACGAAAGGTCTAGAAAGGCGTCGTGGATTACACTTGATGTTAAAGTAATATAGGACAGAACATTGAGACGAAAACCATTTCTTATTTCGACGTATTCACCTCATTTATTTTTATTGCTTTCGAAATTATGTGCACGACTCGTTCGTCCCGTCACTTGATATTATAAAAAAAAAATTAAAGTGAGGAAATATTGCAAAAAATTCACCCATCTCATATTGTCTTCAACTACAGCCATTCACCAATCACTGAAGGTTTCTTCTTTCATTAGAGATTTTGAATAGGGATTTAGAATTTTGGACCTTTGGTATTTAATTTCTTCCGGCTAATCGAGCGACATCATCCAATCTCGTTCATCGTCTTCCAACTCATCTCAACATGTTTCTCCATCTCATGACATCTACGGTCTCCAGTGTATTTTGTATAGGCAATCACATTTGTGCTTAATTTCTTACAAGTTTTCTAACTGTCTAAAATTTGAATTCCCCTTGTCTTTAACTCAGAGTTCAGTATGAATCTGAATGTCATATTGTTGGTTCAAATTATTTAAATCTTCGCGTAACACATTAATACTTATGTGTTTTATCTTACAGTTGATATTGAACCAGCAAGAATATATCAATGTCATCGATAATTACTTGCTTTAACGCAGTTAAAAGTAATTGACGCACTAACGATTTGAAGTCTTTACTTGTACGTTAAGTGTAAACACGTTTTACTCATTTGCAGTATGTATCATATTAGTCTTTAAATATTTATTGTCTGAGACATAATGGAAATGTATATATGCATTACTTACTTAGTGTATGTTATACTCCGTCCAACCATTTAATTAACTTTGACATATGCCTCCGAAATTCCGCAATTGTTGACATACAACCGTCTTAGACTATGGAAACTAAAGGACATCTTATGTTGACATATATAAATCAGACGTTATATGTATATGATGCATTTCGACGTCGAAAACATAAACATGTTATTGTCTTTGTTTAACTATTGCGTGCCGTCTTAAGCCAAAAGAGATAGCATTACATTGATCTGTGTCAAACACGGGAATCGAAAATACGTAACGTCTATAAATGCCGACTGTGTCCATTTCGCAGTACTTGAGGTACATGAACCGGTTGTCAAAGGGAAGTACATCAAATGTCAAAACAAATGTTTTTCTAAGTGTTTTATTGAATTATTGGCATGTATTGTAATAAAATGGACAATAATATTGACAGTGAGAACAATTAAGTATTAATAAAAATTCGTCGCTGCAGCATTACGGGATGTGGCATTTGAAAAAGCGAAGATCGACCGAATGTGATATCGTACAGGCACGTGTTATTTTTCTGTCTATAAATCATACAAAAAACCAAATATCTCATGTAATTAGACATATTCAAGTAGTTTATTCATAAAACTTGCCAAATTTTTGCTTTGGTTTCTTCAGATTGCCTGTTTGTTTGTATATTTTGATGATTGTTGTTAACGATTATTTTGAAATAGTGTTGTTCTGGAAAGCGTACATATTATCGATATTCTGTTATTAAAATAATTCACTACGTGGTTTTTATTATTTTATTATTATTTTTACTATTTCAAGTTTACCTACAAATAATTGGAAATCATACATTGAATCAAAGACCATCTTCATTTGTTCGCTTCATTTTGAAGAGTCAAATTTTAACATAACTTTGAATGCAACTAGATTACATGATAATGCAATTCCATCGTTAGGTTTATTGGTAAATAATTTTATTATTAATTTAGATTAAACACGACTCACGTACTAGGCATTCTCAGTTCCTGAAAACAAAATTATCCACTCGTGTCCGATTTTTTCCCACTGACAACTCTAACTACTATAAATTATATAAATTTTCAAAGTATAACGCACACACTCAACATAGCCCCGCACTACGGAAACCCTGTGTCGCGGGTGCCATGGACACACACATAGACAACCACAAATTACACCCAAACTCACGAGAGAAATAAATGTAAGCCATACAAACATTTCTCCCGGCCCGGGAATCGAACCTGGGACCTCTGCGTGGCAGTCCGGCATGGTAACCGTTCGGCCACGGAGGCAGTACTAAAAATTCTTATTTTATAAAGCCAGTAATACAAAGACCATATTGGTGTAACGTTGCCGGGTGAAGGCCAATACCAACGTATAGACAGCCTATTTGCCTTGCCATCGTTCGGTGTCACTCGCCTAGCTGACCGAGTGAAGGCAAGTGCTAACGTGTATAGAGCTCGTTTGACGTGGCTTGTCACAACTCGCAGTGGCTCGTGACTACTTGTCTCACTTCGGAGAAGTGTCGATTTTTCTGCACAAATCGAAGTCGCTCGACCAATAGTAGTCAATTGACATTGTATAATCAGACATTTGCATGCTATTTAATATACGCGAAATATGTTTATACTAACACTGTCTCTTGTTACATCTCCTGTTATACCATGTTTTAAGCAAATAAACGTATGGTAATAATATTATTATTGATAATAATATTATTATCATACGTTTTAATGTGTAATGTAATTATTTTCCAAAATTAAATGGAAGTATTAAAGATTCACTTAAATCAGTCACTGATGTTAATTCTATACCAATGCATAAATACAAAAGAGCTTACACTATTTGGAATCTGTTTAAAAATTTCTCTTTGAAAATATGAATCTTGACGTTGGAAAGTTATAGGATTTATATTTCAAAGTTTTCTCTTTTTTATATGCTCTCAAATTACAATTTATTTTTATTGTCAAATTCACTTTTCGTAATGTTTGAGTATTTGTAAACGCAAAACAATAAATTCAAAACTTCATGTGACACTCCCGAATATTCTCATAATAACCTAAAATATTCCCAAATGGAATATTGATCTAATTTAATTAAATGTTTGCATGTCGATAATGACTTATCGATAGCTTATGGTACGACACTAAAGAAATCCGCCATTTGTTCGTTCAATTTTTGTTTAGGTATGCACGTTCATTTCGTAGTTAGGGCAGCTCCTTTCTTTTATTTTTTTTTCCATCCTTTGAGACAACCGTAGACAAAAAATACAGTACTTCCTGGACTCGTTTATTTTTTAATTTTAGTGAAGCGACGTGCTCTTTAGCTCCAATATTTATCGAGCAAACTGATAATGTATCGAAGATTATTCAAGTTGATAAATTTTGGTACCTGTCTAATAAACTATAGTGGAATGAAATGAATTATAAATAATTATAATGAATTTTTATTGTTTAGTGTCGAACGAGAACCATATGAACGGGAATCATCACTTGAATCCCTTATTGACATTAATTTTTAATTCTTGAGAATTATTTATTATTATATTACTTTGAAATCGTTGGACGGAGTATAAAGATTTGTCTTTACTTATTCTCTCTTCTCTTACAATAAGACCCGGCCCATGGTGTGACAGTACGGCAAGGGGTCCTTCAGCATTCCTACATGCAAGCGCACACTGACGACAATTATGCCGCGGCTTATTCCTCTTCACATCAGTCGTAACGTAGCAAGCCCATTTATTACCAGTTGTATATTTGAAAATGGTAGTTTGGGATTCTGGGTGAACCTTTGGAAACCTGTTGAAGCATCCAGAAAGTTGCCAAAGCATTCCAGAGATTGCTGGCTCGATATTCCTAAATTTATTGCAGGTTTGTTACGACCACTATCATTGAAATTTCAACTATAAGCTTAGCGTAAAAGTACATTATTATTTGACGTCTAAAAATCTCCTGTGGTGCCGTCCGTCAGTGGTCGTCGGGCCTATTAGTCTGTTTGCTTGAAGACAAATCTAAAGACCATCGTAGGCCGCGTGATGCGTCTATGCTTATGTCTATAAAGTTAAAAATAATGTACTTATGTAATTCCAGGTATTTTGAACGGGCAGTACACTCCAGGCTTCCTGACGGACGTAGTGCGCGAGATAAGGGATGCTGCGCGCGTACGCGAGGAGGCACTCTACTCGCGGATGCGTGCCATGCTCCTCGAAAGGACTGATGTACGTAACTTTATTTACACACGTAAAACCATTTAGTCACCACCCAAAAAATAAATAATCTTAATTATATAATTCAAGAATATAAAACTTTACAATTAGTGTATAACAAGGGAGCAGTGAAGTGAGATGGCTCAGCACACGCTATGAGAACATATGCGCACACGCAGCACTGATTTTATAGAGTTTATATCTCAGAAATGGTCTTAAAAAATGGATTTGTGTCGACACTCATGCAGTTATCTACCTCAAAAGTGGACTGCTAGGCGTGCAGCCAACTGCATTTAAACTGTCTTCCGACTACATTCCATCTGTTAGTTGATAGTCATTTAAAACTTATGCGCATCATAAAGTGATATTACGCGGCAGTTTTGAAATAGTATTAAGAAAGAAAATACATTTATTTAACAATAAAAATAGTATAAAACACAGGTACAATGTCAAAAACACTCCCTACTTAAATGCTACGAAACATGTGTGAAACATTAAAGAACTTACCCCAAAAAGAATGAAACAAAGTTAGAATGACGAGGCAAAAGAATTAAAGAACTAGTCAAAATTCAAAAATAAGTGGCCAGGAACCAGAGAAAAAATGATAAAAGGTGGGTTGACGATAGGGGAGGTCGCATCGTTACAATGCGATGCGTTCCTTGCACCGATTTTCAGTTCAGATAAGATTGTGGAAATAACTTGGATGATTTCTTAAAAACCCAACAAATTGTTCGTCTAATATTGTACCTGCAATTTTAGTCCTCATCTCTAATGACAACCAAAACTTACTTATTTAATACATAGAATTTTGTCCTGCCAAATAAAACCGCTATTGAGTTAAAACTAGCATTACAATTCAGCGTCGGGTACACAGTGTCCTGATTTCACACTCCACTTGCGCAGACGCCGGCAATGTGCCACTGTGTGAACATTCGTACTACTGATTGTACAAGCAGTGAAATGGATGTCTCTTTTAAACTTAATAAGTAAATTTTATTAAGTTATAGTTCATGAACTTGACGCGCTCTTGTGTGACTGGCTGGACATTGCTGTGGACAAAGAATAGAATAGAAATAATTTATTCCAAAAAGAAACAACGCAGCACACATATGTACCTACATTTAACAATTACGATACATAATTATAACATGAAAAAAAAACGAAATAAAAGAGGGAGAAAAGACCTTAACCATTAGATAATACAAACAAACAAGAACCAATAACTACAAACGAATTTGCAAAGAGAGTTGGAAGGTATTTGTCCAACAGTGAAGCACTATTTATTTATTCATTTATCAAATAAGAAGACCAACAGCATAAAAATATATTCAATAATAATGATAACTAATGAAGGCCAATTATAGATACTCACAAATAGAAATACAATAAGGAACCTTAATGCACATTTTAATAAACCTATCACGTGAAAAGACGACGGGAATTGGACATAGTTATGCAAACTAAAACCAATCCACAAAATGTCACTTTCGAGATAATTAGATTTTTGTAAAAACAGTGTGAAGAAATAAATAGGTAAGTTATTTGAGACAAACAACGTGAGTTATGTGTAGAATTGAGAATGATGTAGGAATACTATTGTATTATATAGCAATAAATAGAAAACATTTACTTACATTTATGTACTGTATCTTCTTATTTAGTTAACGAGAAAACCATGTTCTAATTTTCGTAATGAAAACGCTAAAGATCTACAGTACTTCAGTACATGTGACATGGATCCATTTGGCATATTTAAAAAAAAAAATTATGTGAAGTTAAGTAGCATGGTTCTTTTTAGCTAATAAAAAGTTACGTATTTAGGGTTGGGACCCTGAATGACTTTTATTTTCACCGTTTTGGCTTGGTATATTGCCAGGATCTTTTGTGAGTGGGTAAAGGACACGTCTGGTGTTCTACCTAAATACATAACTCAATTTCACTCGAGGTGTGGGTTGGTTCTTGTTTGCATAACTATGTCCAATTGTAAGCCTCACTATGAATCAAACAAGCGCCCACTCAGCTTTTGCCGAAATCACACTCGTATTAAAAAGATCCAAATGGAAGTGTTATGTAGAGTGTTGGGAATTGGACCAAAAGTTAACTGTTTCCCAAATACTTAGAGGGAACTCTCAATGATATTTTGTGATAGCAACTCCGGTCAGTTACTTGAGCCTGCCGGATACTATTTTTATTATTTAACCTAACCTAACCTAAACATTAGGTCACGTAACAAGTGGTAATAGATGATGATCCTTACAGGGATTGTAGTAACTGTACTATAGCAGACTAATTTAAAGAAAGCCATAGAACGCAAGAAAGATGTATAAGAACTCTTTATGAAAACATATCTCTCATAGAAAAGGCGTGATAAAAGATGATGCTTCTTACAGAGGTTATACTAATTGTACCATAGCAAGCTAATTTTGAATTTAGAAAAATGTACAAAACACTTTACAAAAACATGTTTCTTATAGAAAACTCAAGTTAAAACAGAGTCAGCCTATAGAAACGTCACGTAATTCCAGACCGTTCGTCTTCCCAAATACATTGGCAGTTAGCCAAAACTGATGATCAACACCAATGGAGGAGTGTCCTGTTACAAACAGGTCATTGACATTTAATTATTTGTGTGTTTTTGCATTTAATTATTCAATCACTTTTTTATAATATCCAGTGACGGGACGGACAAGTCGTGCGCGTGATGGTAAGCTATCCATAGCAGTTGCTGTGCCACTCAGAGCTTTAAATCGCAAAGATCTGAGGGGCACTACCACTGCGTCCGTCACCTTGAGACATACGTTGACAAGTCCCAATGTGCCTGTAATTTCACCAGCACCCTTACCCTCCGAAACACAGTAATGCTGACATTACTGCTTGGCGGCAGAAATAGGTAAGGTGGAAGTACTTCGCTGGACGAACACTTTTACAAAGAACTCTCCTGCTACTATTATCACAGTTCCTTGTTGTTTCTTTCGCATCTTCCGGTCCTATGAATTCTTCCTTTCAAAGACGCTCACATCGGATACTGTGCTCAATAACAAGTCGCTAATTTATTGTTTCTTAAAACAAACGAAGGAAGCAAAAAAGTGTGCAGTAGGAACTTATAATGCATTTAGCGTTCTAAGTTCCTTTTTCCGCGTTGTTGCAGATAACTTAGTAACTCTGTCGGTATTATACAACAGTGTTCTTCTTGTGTTATTGATGGCATACACTATAATGCTTGCCATAGTGGTGAAATGATTTCCATTCGGCGTTGCCATAGTGGTGAAATGATTTCCATTCGGCGTAAGATACTCGCCGATTGTTGCCTAGGTTGCGCCAGATATAGGATAGGAATTGTGCATTGTGCGGGGAGTTTCCTTTCGTGCATCCCAATACAGTAATAATACTTATTAAATATCTGAAGTGTCTGTCTGTGTACCTGAAGTGTTATCAACTATCTGAAATGTTGATATTGTGTTCTTTATCTAAATTATAGTATCTTTTTTTAACTGACTTAAAAAAAAAAGAGGAGGTTCTCAATTCGACTGTGTGTTTGTGAACCGATTGTGATGATTCTCTTTTAGTTGGAAAGAGGCTAGTATCACTAGCGGACCAATTTAAATTTCAAGAAAATTCCACTTCACGTTAAGCAGTCGAAGAGGCGATTAAGTTGTTTGCGAATCTCATATATAATCGTAGGCTAGATTTCAATTCTTGCCTGATGTAAACATTATAATACTATAAATCTTGTGGCGATTATTGCTTGCGATAGTCGCGTACGATTTTTCGCCACAAAGCGTGGGATAAACTCTCTCCGTGGGCCTTTATAGTGGTTTCATCGTTTTTGTTCAGTATCCTCAATTTTTCACACCTGTGAAATGTGGAAAAATACAGGAAAATACTTATTATTTTGAAAAAACTTTTCCCTGACTCAACACTTAGTACAGTCGATGTAAGAGTTGCTATAAATAACGTTATCTAACTGACACGAAGGTCAGTGTGGTGATTATATTATTTTGACTGATATATTGATAAGCCATGAACTGCATTGACGTCCATTGATAAGTAATGATACAATTATATCGTTAGATCACTTTAAAAAAAATGTAAGATACATAGGTTTGCGTTTCGCACCTTTCAATAATAAAGTGACTAGATACATATACTTTACGTTTCTTTTTCCCATCGGGATGGACAGAGACAAGTCTTCCACTTGCTAACATCCTGACACACATCCATCGCTTCATCAACTCGTATAATTGCTTTCATCCATGCTCGTCGGTTAAGAGTCGATACAACCTCACCTCGAATTCAAAGTAAAAATAATTGTGTTGTTAACATCTCTCGAATATATAATAATTAATATATATAATATATATTCCACACGCAAAATAGGCGCCTTGACGTCGAGTTGCGGTCACCAGCCCGTTACACCGAGTACCAAGTATGTAATAATTCCACGATCATGTGATTTAACACCGCTGGATTGTTTTTTATGGGGTTATGTTAAAGACAGAGTTTATACGGAGCCAATCGAATCGATTGTAGCCTTAAAACTCAAAATTCGTGAAGTGATTAACGAAATAGACCCACAATTTTGCCAATAAGTGATTAAAAACTTTGATGAAAGAATCGACATCGGTAACTGTGGTCGTGGTGGACATTTATCGGATATCATTTATCATTCATAATTGTCAACTTTACTTTTTTTAATACAATAAAAATTTGAATCACTGTCATCTAAATTTATTGTTTTATTTTTATTCATAAAACAGAGTTCTTGTTGAAAAACCCTTTATATATCGTAACTATACGTGCTCTATTTTGTTCAGTTGATATAAGAAAAAAACATTAGTATATATAAAGTACCTATTGAGTACAGGGGTTTTCTTGTAAAATTTCGAGGTAAGTTTGTATTTTTATCTATCGTGAAAATTTTCAGAAATCGTGTTTTCACGCCCTATACTATAACCTATATAGTATATCATTGTATAACCTCTATTTTACTATATTTTTTTCTAAAGTGATAGATTCAACACTTTCACTACTATGCGGAATCAACCAAAGCCATTTGAGGTTGTACCGACTCTTAAGGATACTCTTGACCTGGCCTTTCTTTTGGTCATAGTAAATTCGCCGTGGTCAGTGCCGATTTGCAGTGGTCAGTACATCAAAAGAGTTCGCGTTACATTATTTATAATTACACCATTTGTCGTCGAATTTTCGATCACTAGGGATATATTAACAAATAATAATTCCATTGTTCCAGTTTTCCATTTTGATTGCACGCCTGCTAGAAGGCGTCAAAGTATTTATTGCACTCGGGTTCTACATGGGCTAGCCCCTCACTCTAGCGCGTAATGAATCTGCTTCGTCAGTCTAGTTTCATTCACTCTCTCTACATGTCCGAACCATCTAAGCACCCCTTTCTCTTTTTTTGTCACTACATCTTCCACGCCGCAATTCTCTTTAATATTTATTTATCGCTCACAAGACGAAATTAGAACAGTATTTTTTTTTGTGAAAAGAATGAAAACTGTGACAAAATATAGATTGCCTTTTTTGAAGATGGAGTAAAATGACAGCTAGTGATTCATCATCATCATCATCAACAACATGCGAAGTGGAAGACGTCTTAATTTTGAAGACCATTTCACCATGACCTTAAAAATACCAAACATCTTCTTACAAACGCTGATATCACATGGCATTCCAATTTCTAAAATCATAAGCCAAATCAAAAGAGCTTTGAGATCTATAACATCGCCATTATATTTTTACGTGTGGGTGCTGTTCATCTCTACCTAAACCCCAAATTTGAGTATTTTTAGGTGGAATATTTTATCTATCTCAGGTACTATAAGGACAATAGATTTATTATAACTTTAAGTGAGTATTATATATATATATATATATATATATTTATTATTTTGTGATATCTTTTGGACCTACTCGAGACGCGTCAGACAAATACTATGATTGAAATGTAGCGAGTTTCAAAAAGGTAGGGTATTGAAAAACAGCTTAAGCTGATACTCTATCCTTTTTATCTACACAGTATCTATAAGTGCTGTTATTTACGACTAAACTGTTTTGTAAATGTAGATAAATAAAGTTCTTTATTATTATTATTATTATAGAGTGAAAACCTCTCCTACGCGTTTTGGCATAGTTCGTTTTTTTGTTAAAGAAAAACTTTTCTTGTTCAAATATATTATCAACGTAATGTAGTATCTGAAACAGGTATAATTTATCAAATGAATATGCTAACTGCAAACATTATTACGTTTAAGTGCATTTTACACCACTTTTTATCTTCGTCCTGAAAAATGACATAGAAATTACCCACGAGGTATTTATTCGCTCTAAGACGACGATAAGCTCTCTTGATTTTGCTTCAAAATCTGCTGTAGAGCAATGTAAACAATTGGACGAATAGCCGATCCATACGGAATGACATAGTTCTTGACATTCTTACTTTTATTTAGTTAACAGTGAAATTGGTTTGGTGCTCTTATCTTCAATGCTATTTTTTTTATTGTTTTATATAAGTATACCGAAATTTTGAAGTCAATAAAAATAGTTTCGAAGCTTATTGGCTATTAATTACTTTATTTTCTTTTATACAGAACAGTTTGGCGTCTTCAGAGCCGAAGTTTGCAGAGAAATCACTTGAAGAGATCAAGGTAAAAAGTTTTCATTATTCATGCACAAACTATTAACGCCATCTGTGACTGTTCAGTCCAATCTCTAGAACCGCTGGTTCGTAAAGGTATTAAGAGATTCTTTGCTTTGTCGCTAGATGTCGCCACTCTTTGTTTAGTTATTTCTTGCAAGCTTCAAAAGATGGCGCTAGTGTTAATTTTTTTAGTTTCAAAATTAATTTATAAGATAGTTTTAAAACTAAAGCGTTTAACTACTACCATAACATCTTATTTGCTAACAGAGATCACCGATATAATTGGACGTCAACTTACTACAATAATATGTTGATCTACTGTTGAGATGTCTTCCTTTATTCCTAGTGGTTCTTACTAATATAAATGCTGCTAATTACTTGTCCATTCATCTACGGTCACCGTATCCAACAATATTTCTAGACAATTAAAGCTAAGCTCAAGAAAAGACATTCCACATCTCCCACCTTCTATCTCAAAATACACACACTTCAAAAAATACCTTCGAAAATACCTGCTGAAGCAAAACAAACATAACATTTACTTGTTTTTTGCGGAGTTCGCGATTGGGCGTTGTTTGTCGACGTGTGTGGTCGTGAAGAGCACTTCACGCCTCGGCTCTGCGCGCGCATTGCGACCGCAATCTTGGATATGTCTAATATTATGAAATGGAAATCTTACAAGGGTTTGTCATTGACTAGGTAAATGTCGTATATTAGAAGGTACAACAACTACAGATGTAGCCAATATCACCACATAGCACGAATAGTTCTGTATGATAATTAATAACAATAACGCACACACTCATAGCCCCGCACTATGGAAACCCTGTATTGCGGGTGCCACAAACACATATAGACAACCATAAAGTACACTCAAACTCACGAAAGACATGAATGTAGGTCATAGAAATATTTCTACTGTCCCGAAAATCGTACCCGGGACCTCTGTGTGGCAAACCAGCATGGTAACCGTTTGGCCACCGAGGTAGCTGAATTTATTAGTTTTATGAAAAAAAAAAAATGGCAATACATTCGTGATCACAAAGAAGTTTTATTTTTTAATGTATGTAAAGTACCTATTGAATACAGAGGTTTTCTTGTAAAATTTCGAGGTAAGTTTGTATTTTTATCTATCGTGAAAATTTTCAGAAATCGTGTTTTCACGCCCTATACTATAACCTATATAATATATCATTGTATAACTTCTATTTTACTATATTTTTTTTCTAAAGTGATAGATTCAACACTTTCACTATTATGCTGAATCAACCAAGGCCATTTGAGGTTGTACCGACTCTTAAGGTTACTCTTGACCTGGCCTTTCTTTTGATATTTATGTATGTTACGCGATACCTCCGGCATTTGTGCATTCTTATTTTGTTGGAAAAAGGGTATCGCGGTAGTGGTCCCATTTAAATTTCACGAAAATATTCCACCTCTAAGGGTGGCAAACTAAGGGATGAATGACTTTTTTGAGGTCGGTTTTATTGCTAAAACTATTTATGAATAAAAACTACAATACTTAGACTAATCTACTACTTAAGTAAACAATATATAATATATATTATTAAATTATCTACTTATACAGTAATACCTATATTTCCAGTTTTTCTCTGTAAATTGACAGCTACGCAGTGATTTGCTGGAATCATTCCTTCTAAATCATTCTAACAAATGAACATGAATAATTTATCTTACCTACCGAATGCCATTGCAAGTCGTTGATGTACCGGTGGGTCCCAGTTGGTATTTGTCGACCCGCAGATTTGCACAGACCTCGGGATTATAAAATCAGTGAGGGCAGAGCATCGATTTAACTAAACGTGAGGGTATTCGCACATTTACGTTTGATTCGGCTTGCACTGACACCGTGGTGTAATTAATAAATAATAAAGATGTTTAAAGTTACAAAACAAATTTACAACATAGTAAGTAAGTTACACGACTAATAAATATCCTTAACGCTTAGTCTATTTCTTATCAAATCATTTAATTATATTTCTTAACCGTAGAATAAATGTTACACAAATTGATATATGTAATTTATGAATGTGATTTTCACACAGCAGGTCAATTATTCGTGTTGAATAGACCTAGATTCACTTTTATAATTTATAGGCAGTGGCTGGAGACAGGCATTTACAAGAAAAAAAATTCAAATTAAAAATATATTTTTTACATAAATAAGCAATTTACACTTGAAATTGTCATACACATTAAACACTACTCATTCGTAAGGTAGATTTCCGTGAGAGGAATAAGAAGAAACCTTAATGGTTTCGTTTGGCAAATAGACGTTTCACATTTGTGATTTAAAATTTGTATTACCTTCATAATTGTCACATTAGCCTGTTTTTAACAGACTTCAAAAAAGGTGATTTTTTGTATGTATGACCTTAAAATTTTGTGAATCGATTTTGATGATTCTTTATTTTGTTGGAAATAATGTCTGAGTATTGGCCCATTTGAGAAAAATATTCCACATCTAGAGGTGGGAAACTAGGGAATGAATTCGGTTTAGAGCACTTTCCCGTAACCGATTTCAATAAAACTTGGCAAATAGGTGTAACCATGTACTTTTGTGGTTGGTTTTTTTGGTACTCTTGTTCGCGTTTTTGTATCCCGTGCACTTCTCAAAACGACAGCGCACATTTTTGTACCGGAATTAGGAAACTAAAACACAAGTACCTTCCAATTGACCGCACACTTTTTGTACGTGGTAGGAAATTTATTTTTCCGCAAAATTGGTTATTTTCTTCGTCAAAAAGTTCGTGAACAATTGCCAGCGAATGTTCATCCTTGAACCAAACCTTAACCCATTACGCTTCGGTGTCAATGCACTCACATAACTTTTATTTAGTAGTCTTTACTGTCTCCCTAGCATTGAAATATGAACGAGTGCGTGTGGGGCAAAGCACTCGCGCGGGGAGGGGGTGCAAAGCAAATATTGGCAGATGTAAGTGGATGGCTGCACCCCGTGACGTCACGGGGGTCGTGGTTCAACTCCTGTGCAGCGTACATTTTTGATTCGGTTCAATCGTGGCTGCGTATTAAATTGTTTTTTATTTTTTTTTATATTTGTAAAATGTGTAACGTTATTTCAATGGTGCTTTTGTTACTTTAATTTATTCAGACTGCTTGTCGTTTTTACTGTTCCCTTACAGGGTTTATTACATTGTGATATGCAATAAAGTATTGAGTATGAATATATGTTCAGAGTTTTGAATATGTTTCTAATTCCGGTATTAATAAATCTATGTAAAATGCGGGAACAATATTAAGTCAATTCTGAAATGGGTATAGTCCGTACGTCTAGTTTAGGCACCTGCTTCCCACAGTATAATTATTGTTTTTTGTATTGTTCCTGATATTATACCCAATGTACGGACAACGGTACATCAGACTACAAATTTTTGTTCGAAAATCGCCTCCATTGCAACGGGACAAGATGCGTCTATGTGTAGCTTGATGTGCTGACGTGTGTACCTATATAGTGGTGGGAAAATGAACAAACTTATTAAACATGAATTTTAACAAAAAGGGTACAGAGTACTAAGAAAACCAACCTCAAAAGTCATTAATCCCCTAGTTGGCCACCCTTAGAGGTGGAATATTTTCTTCAAATTTATATGGAACCACATCTGAGAGGCCCTCTTTCCAACAATAAAATAAACATCAAAATTGGGTCACCAATGCGTTATTGCGTAACATACATATAAAAAAAAAACGTACAGTCGAATTGAGATCATCCTCCTTTTTGTGAAGTCGGTTAAAAACAAAAACTTATAATTGTCATATTTGAAGTGAAGTTTTTCGCATGTAAATTGGCGTATTGGTTTTTTCAAACAAACTAACATTCCGGTCAAAAAATTCATTTTCAATGTACAGCAATTATGAGAACCTATGATGAACTCTATATTCTCGGTTGTTATTAGTGCCGGCCTAAACGTAGAACATATACTGTAACACTATTGTTTGCGAAAGTCTTGTCGTTTTAGGGCTCTGTATTTAAGTAGTACAAAAGTCAGCCAAGACGCCCTATATTTTGAAAGACTTATCTACAATACCCCACTGAAATTTCGTGTTAGCTTTTTGTTGTGTACGAAAACATTAGTAATGAATTTATTTTTTTCTGGATCTATAAATCTCATACCAATTTGGGAAATTAACTTTTCTAAATTGGTTTCGGTTTAATAATCTGTGCAGGCTAGTATCACGTGTTTCCTACTTTGATAATCCAGGTAGTTTGTGTGGTATCGGATGTATTATGTTTTTAAACTTTTAAAATCAAGTTTTATGCAAAAAAGCGCCAAGTATAGAGTAAATACGCAGGATTCTACATTATACTCTACATATGGTACTTGGGGGCCAAAGGTCACATTCATGTGCAGTTCAAAGTACTGGCTCGTTAACGTGCAATGCCTGTCAAAGAATTTCTCGTACCACTGGAGACTGGCACACGACTGAATTTGCTGGTATTAAATAGGCCCCCAGAGATGGGAAAATGACTATGGCGTTCTTTTTTTCACAGGCTTCTTGAAATATAAGTGTAAAGACATTGACTCCTTTACCTTTCCCACAGTGTGTTTTCAGACGCGTGGGCAGCTCGCGCGAAGTTTGCGCGTGCGATTAACACCGCGGCCCTCTGCTCGTAATAAGTTAATTGAGGTGTGAAAAGCCGCTTAGCACCCGCGCCTTAATGCCCTAGCATCCGCCGAGGCTCGCTAAATGGGCTGTGGATAATGACCCGATACCTCTGTTTTACAATTTCTGTTTTCCATTTATCAGCTTTGCTATTCTAGTGGCGCGTTTACACTAGGTCGATAGGTCGCCCGTCGCTTGCCCTCCGTAGCGGCAGTCATCGAGTATATAACCAGAAATAGAGACGAAATGCCATTTAATTTGTTTGAAAACTATTCTGCCAAAGTCACTACGGTGACAACTGCGCTCCGATTGGCCAGCCCGAATTCGAGACAATCGACAGGTGTCGTCAATTGTTTCACTTGA